GTCCGACTGTCCGTCGTGCTCTCGCGGTGGTTCGTATTTAAACCCTTGTTTTGGGAGGATTTTTGAGAGGGGACCGCTTAATAACATGGCCATATGGGGTCATGGTGCGGTCAAGTTAAAGTGCAAGCGAAAATGATTCGATGTCGAAATCCTTCGTTGCACTTCCGTATTTTTTGGCGAATTCGCGCGTGGTACGCTGAGACAGCGATTCTATGAGGTGAATGTTCGCTGTCGCATTTACCAATAATATTTTATGCTGACGCTTACTTTATACTTTAATTATATATAGGTTATAGTCTGTGAGACTATAACATTTGTTAGTATAAATTTTTTGTATTCGTACCAATTTTTTCCGACTCTCACTTTTTATCTACGCGTCCTCTTGTTAATTCGGGTTTTTCCTGTAATAAATGTAATAACAATTCTTTTTGCCTGTATGTTACTAAGACTATGAATTAATTTTGAGAGATTTTTTTGTAAATTCAAGGCTTTATTGTAAAAAATTGTGTGTACATTATTATTTTTCAAAGTATTGTCCATCGCTAGCCACTACTTTTCCCAGCTTTCTGACAGCATACGAATTCCGCGTCGAAAGAACAACTCATCTCTTGATGCTATTCACCAATCGATCCAATTTTTCGTATCTTCGTAAGATTGGAAGCACTGCTTAGCCAGGCCGTGTTCTATGAATCGGAACAAGTAATAATCCGATGGAGCAATATCTGGTAAATATGGCGGGTGGGGTAAAACATCCCATTTCAGCGTTTCTAAGTATTTTTTGACTACACGAGCAACGTGTGGTCAAGCGTTGTCATGTTGAAAAATTACTTTATCGTGCCTTTGCTCGAATTGCGTTTTTCCTTCAATGCACCGCTCAAACGCATCAATTGTGTTCGTGTAGCGTTCATCAGTGTTAGTTTCATTCGGTTGAAGCAGCTCATAGTACACAACACGAAGCTGGTCCCATCAAATACAGAGCATGAGCTTCGAACCATGAATATTTTGAATCATACCGAGTGCATTTAAACATTTAGAAACTGTTGTGCGATCAACATTCAACGATTCAGCAAGTTCATCTTGCGTTTGACATGAATCTTGGTCGAGTAATGCTTCCAATTCCTCATCTTCGAACTTTTTCGGTTGACCAGGACATTCTTTGTTAACTGTATCGAAATCACCACTTCTAAAACGTCGAAACCAACTACTCACACGTTTTTATCGATGGAGTATGTTTACCATAAGTTTCCAACAGCACTCGATGACTTTCAGCAGCACTTTTCTTTAAATTAAACAGGAAAAGTAAAACTTCCCGCAAATGATATTTTGTTGGCTCGTAATTCGACATCCTCAAAGCTGAGAAAAAATATGTTATTTACACTTCAGCAAAATGACACATAATAAAAAGTAAAACCTAATGACAGAGCTTTGACATGAATATAGTTACAGAAGTGTCCGATGCGATATAGCATAAGTTACGCCATCTATTGTAAATCCCTCAAAATTAATTCACAGTCTTAGTACATTCATTTTTGGTATATGTTATTTCTTTGGTTTGGTATTGTGTATCTTCTTGCAACAATTTCAAATCATCAAACTATCGCGGGCCTTATTACTAGTAATTTTTATTTTAAATCCCTATATTAATCATGTTTAGTGATTTGTATTTTTCACGAAGAGAATTACGTGATTGCGTGAAAAATGAATAAGTTCACGGAATGAATAGAGCGGAAAATGAAAAATTTCACGTGAAATTACATGACGCATCGACAACCGCATGCTTTCCCTTCTACCAGAAGATTATTTATCGACTTTACTCGACATATTTAATAGTATATTTGACTCTGGCTCTTTTCCTGATCCTTGGCAACATTCCTTGGTTTTCCATATTTCCAAAGCATCCCCCAGGTAAGTTTCGCTCTATCTCCTTGACGTTCTGCCTCCTCAAGACTCTTGAAAGACTTATCTTGTTTCGCTTAAGTTGGTGGGTGGAATCGTCTAACATTCTTCCCTCCTTTCAGTACGGCTTTCGTAAAAGGGCTTCATGTCTTGACAATCTTGGCATTCTTACCTCAGAAATTCATCATGGCTTCATTACAAAACAATTGACTGCTTGCCTTTTTCTTGGCATTCAGGAAGCTTTTGATAATGTCATCCCTTCTATACTAACTTCTCAATTGAGTGACCTTGGTCTTCCGCCAAAATTCTGTTGGTTTGTCTTCCAGCTGACATGTCTCAGGAGGCTACAGTTCGTCGTTAATGAGGATTTATCAGACACACAATTCGTACAAAGGTGTCCCCCAGGGCTCAATCTTGACCCCACTACTCTTTAATATATATTTATCACAATGCGGCTCTTCCTTGACTGAGAGCTGTCGTATAGTCCAAGTCGCAGATGACATTGCTCTTTATATTCGATCCCCAGATTTATGGTGCGGTCCCATGATACGGAACGTATGCGCAATGCGGAATTGGCGGAACGCTCGTGATTGGTTTAACCTGTTTTACGTCTGTTCCGCCGATTTCTATCCGCAAGTTTCTATTTTATACACATTTTGTGCGGAACTTCGAAATTGTGTGTATGATGAAAAATGTCGAAACAGCAGATATCCGTAAGAATATTTGTTTAGGATTTGCCCTAAATCGCGCATAAAATCGTCCCGGTCATACTAGCGCCATCCGTTTGCGCGCTATCGAACCCGCGTTCACGTACGCCGTTACTGTTTTTCAAAAATCATCCAGGATCCGCGTGATCACGCGAAATAATACACGGTCCTGGCCAATAAACAGGCTTATATATCACGCGATCTGACGTAATGATCAGGGATACGTCGAGGTCCGATCATACGATCCGTGATCAAATCTTTATCTATCGGGAGAAAGGCTTTCTCCCCGAGAGTCTTCCGTTTTCCATCATAGTGATCGGAGCGTCATACGGAGAGTAAAATTAGTGCAAATTCGAGAGTTCGCGATAATCTTAACGAGCAAAGTTAAGATTCGTTTCATTAGTCTCACGCGTGTGAAATCCTTAAACCGCGAGCCTCAATCATTGTAACAGTTTCGCGAAGTAACATTGTGCGCGCCAGTAATCGTGTCCGCAGTGCACGTGAACAGTTCAAACGCGAGTGCCGGGATCTTTCGGAGCGCCTCCACTCTCAGCCAGAGGCGGAGCCTTCGTCGTACCGCAACTCCGTTCAAGCGAACTGGGCGTCTCTCTCGCTCTCCCGCGAACGGCCGATATAGCGCCGTCTCGCTCGCTCTCACGCGAACGGCCGATATAGCGCCGTCTCGCTCGCTCTCACGCGAAGGGCCGATATAGCGCCGTCTCGCTCGCTCTCACGCGAACGGCCGATAAAGCGCCGTCTCGCTCGCTCTCCCGCGAGCCGTGAACAGTGCGGTTTCGCGTATTCATAGATAGCCACAAGTCAGCTATCTATCTCAAAATTGGGCGAACCGACGTGTATAGTGCGGTCTCGCTCGAACTCTAGGACGAACGGCATAACGCCGTCTCTCTCGCATTCGTGGCGAGTCGTGTATAGTGCGGTCTCGCTCGAACTCTAGTACGAGCGGCATAACGCCGTCTCTCTCGCATTTGTGTCAAGTCGTGAACAGTGCGGTTCGCGTATTCGCAGATAGCAATATTCATTCTATCTATATCGGACCAGCGGACTGACGTGTACAGTGCGGTCTCGCTCAAACTCTTATCCGAGCGGCATAACGCCGTCTCGCTCGCTCTCACGCGAACGGCCGATATAGCGCCGTCTCGCTCGCTCTCAAGCGAACGGCCGATATAGTGCCGTCTCGCTCGATCTCGCTAACAGCTGATCGATAGCTGTCTCGCTCGCTCTCACGCGATCCGCGTAGTGGTGCGCTCTCACCCTACATCGCGTCTTGAGACCAGCAAACGTGTATCATTTTGTGACTTTAACAATAAACGGACAGTAATTCGCTCACCGGTCTTACTGTAAAGGTGGAATTTCATTGACGCTAAAAAGTAGCGTCAACCATTGGTTGAACAAAGAAGCAACTACTTACTTCTTTGTTCAACCAATGGTTGACGTCAATGAAATTGCACCTTAAAGGTGCGGCCTCATTGACGCTAGAAACCAGCGGCAAATTAAAATTACTAGACTTTCTCTAGATTCAGCGTCAATAAAATAAAGTTCAAACAGTTTTAACTTTTTCAGCGTGTCGCAAAATTCAAGTGTAATAATGGGTCTGTTCTTTTCAGCTGTACTGCTGCACTAGTGCAATAAGTTAGAAAGAGACAAACATACTTTCTTTCACTCTAACTAATTGCACTAGTGCAGCAGTTCAGCTGAAAAGAACAGATCCATTGTGTAATTTGTAAAAAGTCCGTTACCGTCTTTGGACGAGAGCGGACGTGTTCTGCACGTCCTTCGCATTTTTGTTTTAGAAGAAGATGTGTAATGTAATATTTGATGTGTAATTTGTAGAATTTGATGTGTAATATAATGTATATAGTGTATATAGTGTATATGTAATACAGATTAATAATGATTAATTACGAGAATGAAGTAAGTAATATAATATATTAATATTATATAGTATATGTGTGTGTGTGTGTGTGTGTGTGGAATATTTTGATCATTCTTGTTGTGCAGAAATAAGCTGCTTTTTTGGATATTAATAAGTCATGAAAACTATATTTTTAGGTTAGTTCGATATCTGCAAATATATGAATGATAAAACTTTTGTAGACGGATAGATCTATGTTTGGATTAGTTGGATATATTAAACAATTAATAATGATTTCTTTTAGGAAATTGCAATGGTGCAGACTTGCGGGGTTTGCGAAACAATTTGCTACCTCGCCGAAGTGTCCAACCACGAATGTTTGAAGGGATACGGGTGTTATGTGGATGCTGCGACACGCTATTTTTACCCGCTTTTAAGTATATATTTTATTTTTTATAAGTGCATTTTATTTTGTTGTGCGTATATTTCTAAACTTAATATTTTTTTTATATGTGATGGAAAAACGTGCCTACGCCGTGCCTACATTAACGGCGAAGAGCAAATAGTTGAGGCCGAAATTGGTGCAACTTTCAGCCAGGATATACGTAAGTTATGGATCAGTTGGCACAATAATGAACTCTTCTGCTCCTCTTCAATGAAATTAAATATTTCTTTATTTGATTTTAGTCGTGGCAGGAAATTGTCAATTGGCGAATTCCAGCTGTCAATCTGAAGAAAATCTTGTAAAGAATGTGGGCAGCAAAACATCTAAAGTTCCTTCCAAAAGAAAGGCCTCAAAGAAATTGTCGCTAGAAGAAGAAGAGCATTTAATTTTGGCCGTCCAAAATAGAAAACCACTGTGGGACATTAGCCAGCCGATAGACCAGAGATCCAGGGAAATCCGGAAACGACTTTGGCAAGAAGTTGCTGATGAATTGAATGGTGAATAAATAAATATATAATACAGTTGGAATACATAATACAGTTACATAATACAGTACATATGAAATATAATACAGTATAATACAGTACATATGAAATATATAATACAGTTAGATATGATAAAATTTGATTTTTCTAGGTGTACTCGACGCAGCTGCTGTACAGCAGAAATTTAAATCATTACGCGATACATACCGCAAAATTGTCCATTCAGAGCAATATCTTCCGAGTGGATCTGGAAGGAATGAAAATGAGGATCGTCACAAGTGGAAGCACTATGGCATAATGGCCTACAGACAGAAATATCATGCATGGGTGACAGAACGTGCGCGGCAGATGAATAATGCTCGAGGACAACTCCTAAATGACATATTACTAGTTGCCATTGTGCATGAAATATTGAATTCAGAAAAAAAGAAACGAATCTATAAAAAAAGGCGTTTTTGGGTACATCCTATATTTCGATTGAGAGATAAATATGGATTTTATCAAGCTATATATCCAACTCTGTCAAGATATGAACCAAAGTTTCAAAACTACATGCGGATGTCATTATCGCAATTTGAGGATCTGCTGGCTTTGGTTGCACCTCATATCACAAAAGAGACGGTGATTCGAGATCCCATACCTGCTGCAGCACGATTATCTATGACATTAAGGTAAGCTTGATATGTTAAATCGAATGTGTTCTTTTCATAAAACAATATTACATTAATTAACATACAGAATCTTTTTTCAGATACTTGGCTATTGGTGATTCAATGAATTCCATATCGTACCAGTATCTTGTTGGAACTACGACAGTGTCAAACATTATTGCCGAGACATGTGCAGCATTGTGGAATTGCCTTGCTAAAAAAGTGCTTCCTTTTCCATTAAGTAAAGAGGATTGGCTTAATATCGAACGAGATTTTAAAGATCAATGGAATTTTAATCATTGTATAGGCGCAATAGACGGGAAACATATTGCATATTCAGGTATTTCTTTTATTTAACGTTATTTAATTATGACAACTAGCTATATAATTAATAACTGAGCTATATAATTTTATTTGTTTTAGTGTCCTCATAACGCTGGCTCTTTATATTACAACTACAAGAACTATCATAGTATTGTATTACTCGGGATATGTGATGCCAAATATATGTTCACATTCATCGACATTGGCGCTTATGGCCGGCGTAGTGACGGTGGAATTTTCCGAGATTCTATTGTGGGTCAGAAATTTTATAATAAAGAAATGGGACTGCCAGAACCTAAGAAACTCACAGTCGATGGTGAGCCTATGCCATATGTTCTTGTCGGCGATGAAGCGTTCCAACTAACTGATTTTTTGCTAAGACCATATCCAGGAAAAGGAGGACTTACTCACGAAAAAAACATCTATAATTATCGCCTCAGTCGTGCTCGTAGAACAATCGAGAATACTTTTGGAATTCTTGTGAGTCAATGGCGAATATTGAAAAAGCCTATTGACGCTACTATAAAAAACACAATGCAAATTGTCCAGGCCATTATTTGCATTCATAATTGGCTCCGAAAACAGGATTTAGACATAAATGAATATATTTCTGCGGATATGATTGATTGCGATGAAGCTAATGGTTTTATTCCTGGAAATTGGAGGAAGGAAATGAATAGCAGTCATGCCTTAAGAGATCTTGGTAATTGTGGCACTAAAAATTCTTCTCGAGCTGCTATGAACATCAGAAATGAATTTTGCGATTATTTTAACGGTGAGGGTGCTATACCTTGGCAGTATCTTCGACAACAGTAATTAAAATTATCAGCATGGATTTGCATGAAGGAAATAGTAATAATTTGAATAAATAAATATTACATTTGCTATTTTTTCTATTATTGTATGTCTTCTCTATCATTGTACATACAAAATAACTCCGCAAGTTTAAAATTCAAGGTTCAAAGATATACTAAAAAATTTGAGAACACTTTTCTTTTGTCATTTTAATCTATTAATTCAATCAAAATTGAATATATAAAAGCAAAGAGAGCATTAATAAAATTATTACACATTCTACTACTTTAAATATAAATTTGTATTACACGTATACTGTCACATAATGTACGCAACTATATATTTTGAAGAAAAAAAATAAAAAAATGTTTAAATCATACATTTAATTATTTTGTTAAGATTTAAGACTAATTATGGTTGTATAAGAAAATAACAAATTTGTTGTCGCAATCTTTTAAAAAATATAGTTAAAACAAATTTAATTCTTATTCATTTCTTCATGCAGTCTGGAAAAAGTCATTTGAACAATATCTTGTAGAGTTCGCATTTGTAGTTGAGACGACATTTTACGCAACTGTAATGCTGCTGTTTGTAGCATATGATCCACTTCATCGAATAGATCATTTGTATTTGGCAGTACATTTGTATTTGGTAATACATTTAACGCGTTTTCCCGTCTCTCGAAAATTTGGATTAATTTATTCAACGGATTTATAGAAGCAGCTGATATATCAGTAGCAATAGTGGAATTGGATCTTCGTCTTTTTGTACTCATAGAAGTACTAGATAAACTTACTGGCGCTGCAAACAAATTTTTATATAATAATGATATCAAAAAATAATAAATTAATAAAACAATGATCATACTTTCTATACTATTACTGTCATTTGGATCTATGTCAATCAAATTTTGCATTTCAAATATTGACTCCACCGAATTATTTAATAGCTCATTTTCTGTGCCAAAAATATTACTCGATGTGCTGCAATAAATTAATAAAGTATGAATTAAAAAAACAAATTGTGGAATTGCACTAATTTTATCGCTGTCTAATAATTTAATAATAATAATAATAATAATACACAAAAAAATTAAAATAGTTTGATTATTATTATTATTATTAAATGATTTTTGAACAATAGCAATAATGATAACAGAATCATTATACTACCAGAGCTATTGTTGTCCGTGTTAAACAGATTTTGTTCTTTGTACTTGATCTTGAAGCTTGAACATAAAGTCCAATATTGCGTTGTGCTAGAAACATTACTGTATAATAATAATAATAATAATAAAAATCAGTTACTCCTTCAATAGACTGGTATCACGAAGAAACTCCATTGTGTCATAGTGCTTCCACTTGTGACGATCCTCATTTTCATTCCTTCCAGATCCACTCGGAAGATATTGCTCTGAATGGACAATTTTGCGGTATGTATCGCGTAATGATTTAAATTTCTGCTGTACAGCAGCTGCGTCGAGTACACCTAGAAAAATCAAATTTTATCATATCTAACTGTATTATATATTTCATATGTACTGTATTATACTGTATTATATTTCATATGTACTGTATTATGTAACTGTATTATGTATTCCAACTGTATTATATATTTATTTATTCACCATTCAATTCATCAGCAACTTCTTGCCAAAGTCGTTTCCGGATTTCCCTGGATCTCTGGTCTATCGGCTGGCTAATGTCCCACAGTGGTTTTCTATTTTGGACGGCCAAAATTAAATGCTCTTCTTCTTCTAGCGACAATTTCTTTGAGGCCTTTCTTTTGGAAGGAACTTTAGATGTTTTGCTGCCCACATTCTTTACAAGATTTTCTTCAGATTGACAGCTGGAATTCGCCAATTGACAATTTCCTGCCACGACTAAAATCAAATAAAGAAATATTTAATTTCATTGAAGAGGAGCAGAAGAGTTCATTATTGTGCCAACTGATCCATAACTTACGTATATCCTGGCTGAAAGTTGCACCAATTTCGGCCTCAACTATTTGCTCTTCGCCGTTAATGTAGGCACGGCGTAGGCACGTTTTTCCATCACATATAAAAAAAATATTAAGTTTAGAAATATACGCACAACAAAATAAAATGCACTTATAAAAAATAAAATATATACTTAAAAGCGGGTAAAAATAGCGTGTCGCAGCATCCACATAACACCCGTATCCCTTCAAACATTCGTGGTTGGACACTTCGGCGAGGTAGCAAATTGTTTCGCAAACCCCGCAAGTCTGCACCATTGCAATTTCCTAAAAGAAATCATTATTAATTGTTTAATATATCCAACTAATCCAAACATAGATCTATCCGTCTACAAAAGTTTTATCATTCATATATTTGCAGATATCGAACTAACCTAAAAATATAGTTTTCATGACTTATTAATATCCAAAAAAGCAGCTTATTTCTGCACAACAAGAATGATCAAAATATTCCATACACACACACACACACACATATACTATATAATATTAATATATTATATTACTTACTTCATTCTCGTAATTAATCATTATTAATCTGTATTACATATACACTATATACACTATATACATTATATTACACATCAAATTCTACAAATTACACATCAAATATTACATTACACATCTTCTTCTAAAACAAAAATGCGAAGGACGCGCAGAACACGTCCGCTCTCGTCCAAAGACGGTAACGGACTTTTTACAAATTACACAATGGATCTGTTCTTTTCAGCTGAACTGCTGCACTAGTGCAATTAGTTAGAGTGAAAGAAAGTATGTTTGTCTCTTTCTAACTTATTGCACTAGTGCAGCAGTACAGCTGAAAAGAACAGACCCATTATTACACTTGAATTTTGCGACACGCTGAAAAAGTTAAAACTGTTTGAACTTTATTTTATTGACGCTGAATCTAGAGAAAGTCTAGTAATTTTAATTTGCCGCTGGTTTCTAGCGTCAATGAGGCCGCACCTTAACACATTAAGTCGCAACTGCATATCATTTCATTCCTATCAAGTATTCCTTACGCGATCACGCACTGAGAGAGCTTGCGATACCCCCGCGGGTATGTGCCGGCAAAGTTCAATCGCGCTTACCCGGTTTTACAAAATTCGCGAATCGAAAGCGCGATCCCGAACAATATTATTAAAAAATATTTTAAATAAGAGTGTAACAAGGAATGGTCCAACTAATGCTAATAATGCGTCAAATAATTGAGGTGCCATTCTAAAATAATCCATATATTTTTCTGTGTCTTCGATCAGCATTTCCTTTACAAGATTCTCACTTGCTCCTTGTTGGAATCTTCTTTCTAAGCTGAATATAGGTCGCACCCAATATTTTCGTCGTTTTTTAATATTTTCATTTCTTTTTACAATTATATACAATGAATATAATTTTATAATCTTACGGCGTAATTCATTCTTTTTAAATATACACCAACTTTGTTTTAATTTACTTAACAATCCACAAATAATAATAAACAATTTTTCAGAATCCATATTCAATATTAAGTTGTTGTCAGTTTTGAAGGTTATATATGAAATTCATGAATTTTTTGACATATATATGTGAATCCGATCCGCATAAATTTGTATTTCCTATGTCCCATGCAGCGGAAAATACGGAAGCGTAATTTGCGCGAGCCAATAATGTACGCTGTTCCGATATAGACAACAAAAAAATCTATGGGAAAGAATCTTGTGATTGGCCAACACCAATTGCACTTCCGCGTTTTCCGCTCCATGGGACATAAGAAAATATATTTCAACGGAACGCAATTGACGGAATATCTGTGATTGGACGAACTTCGTTCCGCCAATTCCGCATTGCGCATACGTTCCGTATCATGGGACCGCACCATTAGAGCTTTCTCGTCGTACGCTTGAGTCGGCGAATGCCTTCTCGGTTTTTCTCCTTGACAAGGTAGTCTCTTCTACCAAATCCGCTATTATGATTTTTACTAAAAACGGACAAATTTTTTTAAATTATTGTATTTCATTAAATAATATTGACATTCGTCCTGTGTCTTCTTTTAGATTTTTGGGAGTTCTTTTGAAGCCCCATTTGACAGGACATCTCCACGCGAAATATCTAATCAATAAATGTGGGAAACTTGCCAACATTAAATTTCTTTGAGGAGTGTGGTGGGCTTCCTGCCCCACTACTTTACTCAATATATATAAAGCCATAATTACAGGATCTCTCGGTTATGCCTCCTTCTTGTTTCCGTTTCATTGCATAAGTCTGACGGATAGTCTGGAACGCGTTTCGCGCCTTGCGATACTGCATCGGCCTTAGGCGCTCGACTCCTTGCAACATGGTTTATGCGGAGTCTGGTGTTCGCTCCGCTTGGTATAAAGCAGATCTACTTGCCCGTAAGCTCATCTTTAAATCCTTTGCAACTAAACCAAATATTTTCATTAATAAACTGCAAAATCTTCATTTTGCACACATGGACTCGGGTTTTCGATCCGGTTTGTACGACAGGTTCCCCCTGTATCGCGCTTATCGTTTTATGAGAGATTACAAGTCCAGAGTTGCTTTCTTTTCTAGAATTCCGCTGTTCCTGTTCTCATATGAGACTTCAGCTTACATTCCTACTGTCGAATATACTTTGCCACATGTGGTGGATCAGATTTTCTCTGCTCATTATCCTCAGCTTGTCTTTCAATCTTTTCTTTCGATTTATATCGTTGACAGATGCCTCTTCTTTACAGATGCATCTAAAATTAATTCCTCCCCGCATACTGGCGCAGCTTATTATTCTCCCTGTATCTCTATACAGCAAAAATATAAGCTTCATAGATTTTTTTCAATTTTCTTCGCTGAATGTATTACTATCATATGCGCTGTAGATTGCATCCTTGAGAGAAACATATTAGGTGCGCAACTAAGTTCTCGCTGTTTTTTTGATGAAAATTCAACTTTATTGTGAAAAAATGGTTACAAATGAATCATTCAAAGTATTGCCCATCGCTAGCTACAACTTTTTCCCATCTTTCTGGCAGAGCTCGAATACCGTTACGGTAAAAGTGTTCATCTTTTGAGGCTATCCACGAATCAAGCCATTTTTTGATGTCTTCATATGAGCGGAACTGCTGATCAGCCAGACCATGTGCCATCGAACGGAACAAGTAATGATCGGACGGCGCAATATCTGGGGAATATGGCGGGTGGGGTAGGACTTCCCATTTGAGCGTTTCCAGGTAGATTTTAACGGGTTTGGCAACGTGAGGCCGAGCGTTGTCATGCTGTAGAATCACTTTTTCGCATGCAATCGCTTGAAAATGGCTTGGCGGGTAACTCCTAATGTTGAAGCAAGCTCTTCTTGCGTTTGACACGGATCCTCATCGGGCAATGCCTCCAATTCAGCGTCTTCGAAGGTTTTTGGCCTTCCTTCACGCGGACGGTTGTCAACATCGAAATCACCGTCTTTGAAGCGACGGAACCAATCACGGCACGTTGTTTCACTTAGAGCAGCATCTTCATAAACTTTTTGGAGCTCTCGATGCGCTTCAGCCGCCGTTTTCTTCGCATGAAAGAAGAAAATCAACACTTCCCGCAAATGACGATTATTTGGCACAAAATCAGACATTTTCACACAACCAAAAGTATATGACGCCAAAACAAAATCACTAATGTGTCAAAACGGTTTGTTTACCATATGTCTAAGCTTGGTTTATAACGTTTTGGATATGTCAAAATCGACCAGCACTTACTGCTGGAGCCATTTATTGACAAACAGCGGGAACTTAGTTGCGCACCTAATAAAAAAAACCTTGATATTCACAGAGATGCCCACAGCGTAGTGGAGACCATATCCAACTGTACGTTGGGTAGGTATCTTTCATATCTTATTCTGATTTTGAAAAACAAGTTGAGATTTGTTTTCCTTCAGGATATTGATATTGTTCTTGTCTGGATTCTGTCCTATGTGGGTATTCTCGGCAATGAAACTGCGCATCTTTTGGCTAGGGAGGCGATTCGACATGGCGAGACAGCTGACTCCCCCCCCCCCACTGACCTTTATTCCATGGTGAATGAAAAGTATTTCGAATCGGTCGAAAGATATTTGTTCGCTCAATCTAAGAACCTAAAATCTAAGAAGAGGAGCAATACTTCAATCTTTATCCTGTCTTTGCGAAACGCCTGTGGTTTGACAAACTAAATTTGAGTCGTTTAGAGATTGTAACAACATGCAAAATGCGATCTAATCATTATAACTTAAATTACAGCTCTTCATAGATGCGGTATCGTTGAACACTTGGATTGCCCTTGTGGTTCATCACAGCAAGACATCAACCATGTCCTTTGGTCCTGCCCGCTCCTAAGTGGTTCTCGAGTACAACTCACTAAAGCCCTTGAAAGGGTCTTGAACGTTCCTCCACCTTATAATATATTTGAGATTTTAAAGGCGCCTTCCATCGAGGTCGTCCATCCTGTTATCTCCTTGCACGGGAGCGGCCAGCAGATTTGACTAAGCAGACAAAACAGAATGATCCTTTCCTTGTTTTCCCTGTGTATATAAAAAACTTTGAAGAAGTTCTGACAACATAGGCAGAACATGAGATTGCCCAGTGCCACTAAAACTGAAGAAGAAGAAGTTTTATAGTTCAATGCAAATTACCGGCATTGACCGATTTCCGTAAAGTGCATATGAGCGCATATAGCATACGTGACACAACTGTAAATATGCATATATGCGCTTTACGGAATTCCAACAAGTAGTAGATTTATTTTTAATATTTTCTTCTATTTAACAAAAAATGTAACATGGATTGCGAAAATATTAAAACTATCTGAATAAATTATTTATTTATTTATTTAAGCCAAATTTCTAATTATTAATATTAAAAGAATCATTAAGATAATAAGTAATAAGCAATTCGGAACGGCCACATTCGGAACGACCACGTAATGGCCACTCGTTCATAATGATCACTCGTTCGTAATGGCCACTCATTCGTAATGGTCACCCATTCGTAATGGCCACTCGTTCGTAATGGCCACGTTCGAAATGGCCACGTTTGAAACGGCCACATTCGAAATGGCCACGGATAAATTTGACCACGTTCGAAATGGCCACGTTCGAAACGGCCACACATTTGTAATAGCCATGTTCGGAATGGCCATATTCGAAACAGCCACGCTCGGAATTAAACATTGACAGTCTACA